ATCATCGGCGTTCTTTTGTGTCCCACTTTGCCTACCTATTCACTACAGTCAACGATAACTACGCAGTTGATACTGCGTAGTATCAACTGCGCAGTTACGGTTCACTGTTTATAACAGAACTCCTCTTGTGGACAACGCCGTAATTAAGTCATTCAATGTGACGTATTTTAAGTGCGTATGAAGATATTCATGTGCAAAGTATATACTCATGAATGCACATATGTACATAGATATTTATTAATGGTATATATGTGTATGTATGTAGCCACATGTATATTGACATCGTATGTAACTTGTTTACAACAAAATAGCACCTAGGTTAGACATGAAATTCTCAAAATTATAATATAATAAACAAGGGGTAAGTAATAGTGATATTGCAAATGTTGAAGCAAAAATAAATTTATCATTTTATGATTTTTACTTTATTTTGGTTTAATTAATTGTACATCTAGTCCGTATGTACGCATTGGTATTTATTTGCCTTACAATTATGAGATATCATCATCTTTGATTTCATTGTTGCAAATCGGGTGTGGAACATTCCGGCGTAATATTTCTCCAAATGATCTAATCATTGGCAACGCAGCAAAACTGAGTACGATAATGCACTTTATGCCGCTTTCTTAATTTTCTTCGTGTCATGTCCTGGTGACTGGGTGACTTTTAAACCCTTCTATCGGAAGGATCGTTTTACTAGGTAATACGTCATGGTTCCCGAGATTTTTCGATGACCTTCGTATTTTATGTACTTTGTGATGAGGAATCGCGTGGTGAAACTGGGATTTAAATTGTTTTACTCGCCAAATTTCAAACATAAAACTTAAATCTTTAATTGTCCCGTTATTTCGAAATTTATCGAAGGATCCTGGGAACCAGCGGCAGCAGCAATTGGCCATGGAAGGTATGTATGTGCCCAATGCAGTAGCGTAGCCACGATTAGATATTAGGAGGGGGCTCGGCTTAAAAACATGATTTTATCCACAAGAGTATGGTTTGCGGTCATCCAATTCCTCCGTCCCGCTGAAAATTATGCAGCATGACATGCTATTGTTAACCGTAATATTCCAGGGTAGAAATCGAACTAAAAATGTCTTATATAGATTTCGTCGGACGGACACATTTATTGAAATATGTAGGAATTATAAATTCCACTAGGATAGGTGTTGTCAACAGAAACTTTTTGTCCCAGTTGTATGTAGACATATGCGCCTTTACATCGCCTTGAAACGTAAATGGTTACCGGCAGGCCTCAAGTGTATTGTTCCAGAGGCCATTAACTTTAGAAAAATATATGGTTCATAAGAATTCTGATGGGCTTTCGGTTGACCTTAGATGCATATGACCACAGAAGGTCAACGCGTAGGTGGAGCGATATTTCTACGGATGTATTGAGAAAAATGATATATCGCTTGACGTGCTGGTGTTAAATTGAAATTGCCGCCAAGGACCCCACCCCAAGAGGTGTGGTTTTTAAATTTTTAATTTGCCGTCGTAATCAGCTTTGTGAGCTGAGAAAAATTTTATGTCGCATGAGATACTTGCGTTGGATTGAAATAGCCGACAATGACCACACCCCCAGTGGGTGTGGTTTTGAAATTTTGAACAAGCGGTCGTAATCGGCTTTGTGTGCTGAGAAAAATGATGTGCCGCAAGCCAGGTATTGATAAAACTGTCGCAAAATCGCCAAAAGCCACACCCCCTCTCCCCTACGCCATACACATTAAGGTCATGGTGTACAAGTGGGGCAGACATACAAAATTACCCTCGATTACAATAGTTAATTTCAGAAACAATACTAGGAACCGACTTTATACATTTTTTCCTGTTCGGACCACACCCACAGGGACCCCACTAGAGTGGGGTGTGACCCTCTGACCTATTTTTCGATGACATGACAATGTAAATCAATTACGCAAAGAATCGGCAACTATGCTGTCTTAACTTCAATGTGGAGTTGAATGATTAGTTAGAGATATTAATCTCAGTTTTATACTTTATTACATCAATATATAGGGGGTGTGGCCGAATTTAAAAAATCTGGAAATATATATTTCGCCCAACGGTCCCACGTTTCCAAAACATCCGGAATTTTGAAAATCCATCAACAACTGACGTCAGGACAAATTTGTAAAATTTTACATATACTTAGTTATGGCCAAGTTATACTGACCTTTGACCTCTGTTGGAGGTCAAACCAGCGAAAATCTGGGGTCGGGGGTATGGAGACTTTTGTTCAGCACATCGAAGTCTACAACATATCAAAAATTCAGAAAATTCGACGGCAGGCAGTTTTCCCATAAGAAGGGTGCCTCCTCCTTTAGCAATTAAGATTGACATAGTATTCAGGTAGGAGACTCTACCTTCATTACTTATGCGGGACTAGGGTGTGTAGGCAATTAAAAGTTGATGGAATCAGCCAGGTGACATGTGGGATCGATTTTGAAGTGTGTCTAAAAATGTGGTTATGGAACGTGAGCTCCAATTGTGTATTATTTGTGAGAGAATCTGACAACACGCTAAGTAGTTCCAGCCCTAGTTTTCTTAGATTCATGTTTTTCATTTTGGTCTACGTGCTTCATAGTTTTTGACTATGGCACGAATCAATAAAAAAGTGATGTGTATCTAAATATTTATGAATTTCAATATACATATATAGGGATATTCATTGTTGTTGAGGACAAAATGTTGAGGACAAAATACTTTCTGAATCTGACTTGAGAAAATGGGGGAAAGTGTGGTGGTACTGATATTTTATATCTACTTACTAGCGTCAGGTCGATGGAATTGAAGTTTTGAGAAATTAAGCATTTACAGATTCACAGTGGTTATTTATGTAAATTTTACACAAGAGCCGATGCAACTGTGTAAGAATTAGGTCATGTAATAATTCTGGCCTGGTCTTAGTTATCGTGGTATGGCTGTAGTATTCTATTGATTTCTTGACACGACGTAATGAATGGATAATAGTGCGTATAGTTTTCACTAAACTCTGGAGAAAGTACGATTAAAAATAAGCTATGTGATATTATCCTTATTTTCTTGGGAGATGCAATGCCAATAGCAACGACAGAATAAAACGACAGAAAATTTCATAAATATGCATGTACTACACGTTACGAAAACTTATAGGCATCTTTTAAGCCTAATATCTTCAAAATATGCAGAGAAACGACTTTTTTCTAAAATTCGACAAATCCAGTTCTATTGCCAAGCTGTGAGAGTAAATTGGAATGATATTTTTATGACCGACTGACAACTGACATTTCGAAAATTTTGAAGTTTCCCGAAAGTGAAGAATTTGTAAAAAAAGCTGATAATAGTGATGATGGATAAATTATTTTAAAAAATGTAAAAATTTTGAGTATGCCATAAAAATTGAATTTTGGCGAACTATTTTATATGAGAAAAAGGTAATATTTTTCTTAATTGATTCTGACCAGGTTAAATTGGGGTCACACTGAATTGTCATACGGGATTATTTCATACTTGATATTGAACATTACACCCATCTATGGAAATTTATGTAACTTTGAATTAATATTCTGTTGGAATTTTGAATGTGCCAATAATTATGGTTATGGGGTGCTGGGTGCAGTCATCAAATTCTGATCCAGGCATTTAATTATTATGTCGAATGCATATTAAATTAGGGTCTAAAAATAAAAATCCCCATCAAATATACAATAAGCTGGCGGTGATGTAATTTTAATTTTGTTTTAGTTTAGAATTTTGTTAGAAGATTTTCATTGCATAACATAAGTATAAGTTTTTATGGCATTTGCCTTCGGTTTGGTCACGAAAAAGTTATGCTGCACACTGAAGTTTGGTTTGTGTAAAAATTTGTGTATGAAATTACTATTTTTATATTTCCTGTTTTTTGGATTTATTTCTAAAATTATGGAGAACATGTGTAATTTAGAACTTACTTAATTCCCTATTTTTTGCCACTGGCCTAATCATAAGAAATTTCTCATATGGGTCGGGAGAGTTGCACAAAAATCTAAAAACAAGTTTTACGGAATTCTGCCTTTTTCCCAGCTCTACTTTATAACCTAAGCTACAACGTTTCTTTCGTCACTTTATATGTGACTGTCCGTTTAATTAAACGATGCCCAATTAACAAATTTGATCATACCTGAATTCCCAACCTTAAATGCTAGGAAATTTTTTAACCGGGTATTTTTGAATTCCGTTTTCATGGGAACATTTATTGTTCCAATCATTTTATATTTTTGGGGGAATAAATTTATACATAAAAGTTTTTTTAAATATTGCCTCCAAAAATACCATTATTCCTGGGAATCATTATTATCTCATGTTACGCATAAAAATAGTTGTCCTAGATGTAAGCACTAGTCGATATGTTCTTTTAAATTTAAGGCGATGAGAGAACAAGGGTGACACCGAAAGAAACCTATGGGGCGAAATAAAAGAACACGACTAATATTGTAGTGGTTGTGATTCTGGTTCGTTAGGCAGAATGAGAAATTTGGGGCATGATAACTTGGATTACTTTGTTACAATACGGGTCTTTACATAAGTAAACATTACTTTTAAATAGACTGGTTGGCGTGTGTCCAGTTTACAGAGTAAAATATATATTTGCTTTCCAGCTTGTGAATCTGCCATTTAACACGCTGACCAGAAGTGTGAGAGGAGATAACTCTGTCGAGATAAGTAGTTGCTTCACACGAGACAGATTGGGGCTTAAGTAAAGGCATTGTTTCTAATTGTCAGTGGTCAGGATGCAGTGGGGGCGTGGGAAGTAATCCCCAGGGAAATATTGTAAGCTTTCAAACTTATGAAGCCCTCCGACATCCTGCAATGTTAAAGGCCCACGCATTAATCCGCGGCCATTGCGACGATGACGATTGCGTCGGAATTAAGTTCAATTCGCTGAATGGGTAGCTTATCATGGTGGCTTATCTTGGGAGCGATTGTGGTCCATTGTGTGAAAGTGTTGGTTTAAATGCCAGTATTAATCGCTACCTTGGCTCCACTTGGTCGTGGGAAGTACTTACACCTTAGGAATTACGTATTATTTTAGAAAACTGTATAAAAAATGAGTTCAAGGAAGAATACTGGCTCTGGGAGGGACAAAAAGTCGTGTATGGCTTCCCTAAAGGGTCTGACAGTGGAACCGGCAGGTTTTCTGCTTGTGGTGGCCTTGGTGGTTTCTCATCTGGCGTTCCAAAACGTGGTGATGGAAACGATTTGTAGGGTGGATTTGGAATATGATGCGGATATTTGTAAAGAGATTATTAACAAAGTGTAAGGGATTATGAGACATTAACGTATTTCTGAGAGGCTAAACTCTGCCAATCTTATGTCAAATTATTTAGATCACATACTTTCTAGATCAGATTAAAAAATTCATACATAGAAACAGCAGATGAATTTGATTTAATTCTAATTCGGATATTGTAACTATTTTTTTAGAAACATCACGTACAAAGCTGAGGAGCGGGAAATTCAAAAAGTCGTGGCGGGTGTTCAAGCGATTACATCGGTGATCTTCAGCTGTATCACGGTCCTCGTCGTGTTGTTCATAGGACCCTGGAGTGACGCAAATGGGAGAAAAGTACCACTTCTCCTATCCATGTCTGGCCTGATTTTGATGCCAACCATGATGATCGTTGGGTACCTCTGCCTCGGGAAGATTGCCGCTTTGCCGATGGCATTCCTTGTCATGTTTCCGATGACCTTGACTGGCGGGATTGTCGTGTTCGGGATGTCGGCGGGATCATACATTTGCGATACAACAACGCCAAAGAATAGGACGGTGAGGATGGGAGTCTTTTCTGCGTCGGTGCGGTCAGGAACTCCGATCGGATTTGTGGTTGGCGGGCTGTTAATGAAATTTCAAGTCGGGATTATCAAATCGCTCCTGGTTTCGGTGTGTTTGTCGGGATTGGCGTTTGTACTTGTCCTCCTCAGAGTGAAAAACGGGAAACCGGAAGGAGCTGAGGAAGATGGTGACGAAAATGGCGGGGCTTTAAGGAACAGGAGGAAGATATCGTGTTGGCGAAAATATAATCCTGTAACGAAGTTGATTCAAGCGTTTGCCATCTTATTTCAAAAGCGGGAACATCCTTGGCGGTTCTATTTGTTGATTTTGGTCCACATCTGTTACGCCGCGCCAGGAGCGGAGCATGCCATGATTTATCTCTTTGTGAGGGAGAGACTTCAATGGAACATCAGCAGCTTTGGGTTTTTCTCGATGGTTAACTGGCTGCTGAGTGCGGCGGGAGTGTTTCTGTCGATGTACGTTTTGAGTAAGAAGTTGAAGTTGTCAGATGCACTGGTGGGGTTTGTTTCGGGAATTAGTCAGATTGGAGGATCGATGTTGTATGCGTTTTCGACAACGCCAGCGATGATGTATTGCGGTAAGTTTTGATTTAAACTTTTTTTTTCTAAAGTGTATTTAAAAAAAATAAATTGTTTTCGGAGTTCATATAATTTTGGCTTCGCCGGAATAATTTGAGGAAGCCATTTGCTTCCTTCTAAAATGGCTCATCTTTTGGCTGACATTTCAAACTGAATTTTGTTGTGCAGCATCCGCCCTGGACATGATGAACGGGACGATTAACGTAGTTGTGAAATCTATGCTGTCAAAACTGGTGGCGGCAAACGAGGTGGGAAAACTATTCGCGCTTCTCGGAGTGATTGACAGCCTGCTCCCTCTTGTAATGATGCCGACGTACGCAATGGTCTACAGAAGTACGGTGACCTTCTTTGCGGGAGCTTTCTTCTTACTGTCGGCGGGTATAACGATTCCGGCAGAAATTATTTTCCTGTAAGATTCGTATTATTTATGAATGTTTTAGGAAATAAATTAGTTTTACATCGACCAGATGTCATAGTCAAAAACGTTTAGAACTTTTTGTTTAAATATTAGTTTTTTAATCGATTTTGAAATTTGATGAATTAATATTTTTTAAATTAAATTAACTGATTTTTTCTTGGGGGCGTTGCTAAGTTTACGAAGTCTTGAAGGTCGGCATTATTATTTTACAGGTATTTCATGTGTTCTAAGGATGACAAAGTGGAAGAAACGAATGAAGAACCTACGGCTCTCGATCAGCTTCAATCTACGATGGAATCACTGAACAGGAGCGTCCCAGACCTTGCCAAATTCACTACGAATGACGTTCGATTAAGCAGAGAGGGCTTTGAAGATGACGAAGAGAGTGATGTAGAGGAGAGTAGGGACTTGAAATTTTAAGGTATTTTAAGGAAATTTTAGGAGATAAGGTATTTAGCTTGTTTCTGTTCGTTATAGTACGTAGTAAATTAACAGTTTGAGCATCATAAATTTTAGGATGGTTTGGATACATTTGAATAACTAAAAAATATTTTCCTTAAATTGAACATGTTTAATAGTCTCGTATTTATTTTCAATAAAATTATTGGTTCTGAGTAAGAAGTTATTAGTAAGGATGGCCCGGCGTTTAACAGCAAACAAATATTAGTAACCTGGAAATAATTATTAGTTGACATAAAAATACAACTAGGAGTCCACTGTCTATTTACTTAAAAGTTAAATGTACTTATGTATCTGCGTATCTCGATAATGAAGTTGAATTCTAAATAAACAACGTTTTATGCTGAACACCAAATTCCAGTGAAGTTTAACTCTAAGTTCGTATTTAGCTCTTCGTTTTAATTATCTACAGATCTAGATAGCTTTATTATGAGCTTCAGTCTTAATGTCTTATTTTTCTAGTTGTTTCTGGAAACCAGTCATTAATTAAATTGTACTGATCAACGAGAAACTAAAATAAATTTGAATAAATGCGTAAACTATTCCTCCACGTGTACAAATATTTGCCAGTCTGAATCTTGGCATCACCCTGGTCGGCAAGCTGTAACTTTGATAAACAATTTTTAGTTTTAATTGATAGGATTTCGGCATATCGTAATACCGCTTGTTTGGATTTATGCTTGAAAATTGCTCCATGTTTTGTCAAATTATTAAGAAAATAAACAGTATTTTGCAAACGAAGGATTTTGAGATTGCTCTGAGCTTAATTACTTAAGATATATCGGGGTCCACGAATATATCTGTATAGGGCAAGAGAAAGTTGTGCAGTCTTGCAGGCTTAGAGGTTGAATTTAGCAATCGTTAACCAGCAGGTTCAAACATGTATCGCAAAGATTATATGAGACTTCTAAAACCGTATTTGTCCATCTGCCAAGCCTTCAAGTGTGTCCCGTTTGACTTTGATAGGAAATCAGGGATCGTTGTTAAAACGGGGAATGCGAGCCAAATCTGGAGCTTTAGACTCCAGTGCATACTCTCCGTTGTCTACACGGTCGCTCTAGTTCTTCAAATCTGCGTTGGCCGATTATCGCTGACGGACAGCTTCATGGGAGCTGTGTTTGTTTTGGTACACATAATACAGACCTCGACCCGATGGAACTATTCCTTGGACAAATCTCAGGGGCAACTTATAAATTCGTTGGTTCGGTTCGAAGACCAAGTTCTTCAAGGTACCAGTCAACTTCTTAATAGTGCATTATGTCCAAAACTAAAATTGGTTATAGCCAGTCGCATGAGCTATACTGTATTTGTACCTGAATCAAACTTTCATGCGCAGATCTGCCTCCGGCTCGTCAATCGCTTGGGTTGCGACTAATGAGAATATTCCTGTACATCGCAAATATTTCGGTGATTGGGATTCCGATCTTGGTAAGTTTACTGTTAACCTACGTACCTACCATGCCACCCTTTTTGCTCTCAATGCTGCCAGTCGCCGTGGAAAAATGCAACCTTCAGCATTTAGTGGTTCGTGTTTGTGAAACATGGATACAGTGTCATATGATGTTATCGGCAGCGCTTTCCGTTATTTACATACTATTCGGCGGTATCGTGTGCATCTTGACCTATTGCAGGATATTGGACGAGTAACTATCTTTTTTATTATTACATTTAATTGATTTAAATTTAAATTTAAATTTAAATTTAAATTTAAATTTAAATCTAAATCTAAATCTAAATCTAAATTTAATTGATTTAAAGTGTTTTTTTCCAGGAATTTTTTTCAGAGAAATTTCCAGGACGGAAAATAATACTGATGTCAGGGCTTGCATTTGTCTCTACCGTTGTATTCACATCTTGGAAAAATCCTTAAACGACACGATTACCTGGATTATTCCGTCAGTGTTAATATGTGCCCCTGGAATGCAACTGGTGGCTCTGTATGTGTGCATCAGTCATCACGGCGAAATCACGATGCCGGGAGTTCTTGTTTTTCCTCTGATAGCATTGAACGCGATAATTACGAATGTTCTCGTTTTCACGCTTGCTTCATGCGTCAATATTTCGTCGGGGAGGGCGATAAAATCCATGAAGGATAAGGTGGTGTGTTTGGAAAAACGTAAGCTTTTAAAAAGACAGGTGCTGGCCTTGACAGGGATGAAGATTAGGTTCGGCTCCAACTTTATCGACCGGGGGACGCCTCTAGCTATTCAGAACTTTTGTATTAATCACACCATGAACCTGACTCTGGTTAAGTGAAAAAATCAGGCACACTATTAAAGGGAAAGAATGAAAGTTGTTATAGGTCAAATTTTAACTTGTACATACGTATTTAGTCTACCGATAGATCTCTATTTAGATTGTGCAAATACTTAGTTCAGTTTGATTACATAATTAGCTAATAGGTGTCTTCGAATAATAATTGAAACTCATACCTACTAGTCTAATTTCTCTACCAAGTTGTGATTCTGGCCTAAAATTCCACTTACTAACGATTCTAATATTGCATAACTTTCGACGTGAAACCTACAAGAGGTAGAAAGTTGTTTGTCAACGTCACTCTTGAAATCAAGGTTTCGAACACAATTATTTACTTAAAATAATGGGTGTGCCACTAAAATTTAGTAAAGTTCGCGGACCGTTGCTGTAAGTCAATATTGACAAGATACATAAATATGCCTAGCGCTTGGAAATAATAATAATGCTTGGTACTGTTGATTATCAAATTTAATATTTTCCAGTATATAATTTGCTTATCATCTTAAAATAGCCAGTCATTTACATATTACACCACACATTTCGTAGCTTTATTGGTATTGATAATTTGGTAAGATGTACAAATTTGTAATATTCAACACCAATTGCCGTAAATAAGCAATTCCACGACTTATTAATTTGTGTCTACATTTTTATAATTAGATACCTAGAACTACAAAATTACTAGGCGCCAAGGACGAGTTTAATAAAATTACGTTATAAAAAATCATGAAATCATGACATCTACAGTAAAGAGTGCAATCCAATTCACAAACATCGGTTGAACTTTATGGAAAAATTACTTCCACACCTATAGAATATTTATGTGATAAAATAGTTAAAGTGTGCCCACAAATGAAAGTCCTACTTGGTTTTTGGCCTGTAAAAAAAGTATTCCTGAATCAAATTTAATGATTTTTTTATATGATGTTTATCAATTCTTTACATTGTTATTTTAGTCCACCAAGGGACCAAAAACTCCTTCCCTTCCAATAGATCGTAGCTTTTGCCGCACGCTCGCCATGAGAGCGTTGCCACTCGTTTCCGCTACTTTCTTTATCAGATTTGAGATGACCATTCGGAATCCCCTTAAGGTTTTTGGTTTTTTTGTTCCCCTGGAATATGTCCTCTTGGGTAATGCCCAAAACTGTTCGATTGGAAGAGCTTGAGGGACATTTGGAGCGTTGTCTTTCTTTTCGACGAAATCCACGTTTTTCTCTCGGAGATAGTCCGTCACAATTTTTGCATAATGGGTTATTGCCATATCGGGCCAGAGCAAAACCTTCTTATTTTCGATGAAAGGCATCAACCTCTTCATGATACACTCCTTTAGGTGAACCTGATAGTTCAAGTTTTTCGAAATAATGGGTGGTTTCGACACATCACCATTTTCATCGATCGCGAGCCAGATTAGGTATTTCTTAGGGAATTTTTCTTTCCCTTTGAATTTAAATATGTCAGGTATATTTTTTATATTCCCACAGGAGTAGAACTTCACCCCATTATCATCTTCAGAATCCACGGTGCAGTAGTTCTCGTCATCCATGACGATTAAGGTGGTGATATTTTACTTGCAGAGTTTTTCATAAATTTTTCTACAGTTGGTTTTAGCCCGTCGTTTTTGGTCTTCGTTGTATTTTGGGGAGGTTTTCGCCTTATACGTTTGGAAGCCCAACTTCTTGGCTTTAAGGGGGTGGTACAAAAGGTCCTTGGTAACTTAATTCATATTTCCTAATTTTACCACCACTACTTCTGAAGTATAGGGTGGGATTAAAATTTCGAACTTACTCATATTAGTTTCTCAAGATGTCAAAGCAAATTTTAAAAATTAAAATAGTTCGCCGTCACCCCTGTATTGCACACAATCGTCATTTTAGCAAAATGATGAATTTTGGGGATCCATCGAGATTCACGAGAGAATGCGTTGACCAAATGAGTTCATTCTTTTTTGATAATTTAGATGAACTCTTTACGGAGGTCAAGAAGTCTGTCCGTAATATTGTACACCCTTCTAAGGGTTGTGAGAGTAAAAAATATGCGCCAGAAACTATGTTCTTGACACATATACGAGATTTCTCACTTTGTGGCAAACTCAAAAAATCCCAAAATGACTTGTTGACCTCAACCAGATTGTCATCAATTTTTTAAAATTGTAAAGCATATGATCCATCAAGTATTTATTGCAGGAATCCTGATCTAAGTTGAAAAAAGTGGTGTGGGCGGACCGTTGCTACGTTAGAAAGTGAAGTATTGGAACCGTCTAATTTTAATTATTTGATGTTGCTATCATCAAATATTCCAATCCTTTTTCATGACCTTTCTTTTGTACCACGCCCTTAATTTGATGTACATATGATTTGCTGAGTTTGACCTTGGTTGCGACAGCCCTCTCCGAAATGTTGGGGTTGTTAATAAATGCTTTCTCCACGATCTTGACCACTTTCTTCGTCCCCATGAGAAGAGGTCGGCCAGTAGATTTTTTAAAATCTGCATTTCCACGTTCCTCATACCTATCCAGTATAGGATTAATTGACCTCGGGTGCATCCCGTTTCGAACAAAATGGTCACGCATTTTTTTCCGGTCACGATGGAACACATTTGCGTACGAGTGGCAAACCTGCTTAACGATCTGCTCTGAATCTTTGGCTCTCATTTTTAAACCAAAAGAGATAATTTAATTTTGTCTTCGGTATAAGAACAACCACTAAATTATCTTAATAATAGCATAAAGTTTTGAAGTCTAAATTATTCCCACGAGCTTTTAACAGGGGTGGGAAAAGTAGGACTTTCATTTGTGGGCAGGCTTTATAAGTTTAAAACATATTTATGCTAAATAATACGCGTCGAGTAGCTTGTTAATCCCATGAGAGTTAATGACGTATCTCATGCACAAGTTGAAACGAGTTAAATTGGAGTGATTTGGTTTAAATTTTGACTTCCACTTCCAGTGGACAGAGTAATGTATGATTGACAATAGGCACCACCAGTCAGTGACGAAGTATGTAAATGACAGATTATGTAAATTAATTGTGAAGGGTGTATGTGTACGTCAAACGATTGCGTGGCCGGATGCAGATACGTACGCCACTTTGAGTAGTAAATAGAGGAGTTTTCTCTCACATGGATCCAAGGTTCCGACAAAATAATTTTAATTTAAAAAATTTTGAACATAGATTAGGTGTTCTGTTTTAAATGTAGATATTTAATTGGGATTATGTGTATTGCGAGATCTATTAGTAAACTTTATGATGTTAATTTATGTATGTTTTGCACTTATGTCCTAGTGACAAATAGGTTTTGCATGTCAAAAGTTAGGAAAAATGCAATTAGGCGTCGCAAAACTAAAAATATAGGTCTTTCTCGTGTAAAATTCGTGTTTTGATTCTGCATTACAACATGAGGATCTGCATTTTTCCTTTCTTTATCAACGAGAATTAAAACGGGGATTCCAAATAATTCTGAACGTACATATATATGTACATAAGGAACATTTTTGAAAAGATTTGAAAAATATGTGGACTTGTAAACATGTTTAGTTGTAATGTGCTAGCCATAATTTGGTTTTTCTAGTGATAAAGCTAAGCAAATACAAATTAAATAAACACATATTCCTACGATGCTGAATGGAAGTGTAAAAAAATGAGTTTAAATTGTGGTAAAGTACCGAGTAACACTGTTTGGGTGACGCTTGGATTAACAAAGTCGAGTGAACTAATGTAAAATAATAATTTATCCAATCGGTCCACACTGGCCTGCATAATGTAGATAGATAGGCAGCAATCCAACACTAGACTAAATCACGACTGGTTTAATAAAATTTAACGAACCATTTATTCAAGTCTCTTGTAGAAATGTAAGTAGGGGGGCAGTAATAATCTCGAATTCGAGTTGATCCAACAGTCATGCGAGGCATTCTACTCTACGTTATTTTTAAAACAAGTTTAATTTTTGTAGTTTTAGAGTTAACGATTTAAAATTTTAGAAGATCCACAATTTTAATTAATTTTGATTTCCCGTCTTATAAAGCAAGTAAAATGAGTGCAAGTAAAAACGAAAGAGAAGGAGAGACAAACTGCAAGACAAGTACGAGAAGGCCAAAGTCGTGTTGCTCTTTCGTAAAAAGTTTGACGGTTGAACCGGCCGGCTTTCTGCTAGTGGTTGGGCTAATGGTTTCTCATCTCGTGTTCCAAAACGTGATGATGGAGACGGTCTGTCGTGTGGATTTGGAGTATGAGGAGGACATGTGTACAGAGATCATTGACAATGTGTAAGCTCGAATAGATTAGTAGTAAGAATTAATTTTTAAACTGGCACAATTTTAATTGGGATTTTAACTGAGAAAGTTAAAATAAATTTGATTGAGAAGCGATTGATAGAACAACTTTAATAACGCTCAAACGCAGATTCTAGTCTTTTACTTATTGGGAATGGTGGATTTAGATAAAATACTTATCTAAAGTTAAACTAATGTATGTTTTTTTGTAGAAACATCACATTTAAAACGGAGGAGCGCGAAATTCAAAAGGTTGTGGCAGGTTTACAAGCCGTTAGCTCGGTGATCTTCAGCTGCATCACGGTCTTCGTCGCGTTATTCATTGGACCGTGGAGTGACGCGCATGGGCGCAAGATGCCTCTCCTTTTCTCCATGTCTGGAGTGATCTTAATGCCAACCATGATGATCGTGGGCTATTTATGCCTCGGGAAGATTCGCGCCATCTACATGGTACTCTTGGCCACGCTGCCAATGACATTGACGGGTGGGCTCCTCGTTTACATTATGTCGGCGGGATCTTATATTTGCGATACGACGACAGAGAAGAACAGGACGGTGAGGATTGGAGTGTTATCAGCTTCGATAAGAGCGGGAACTCCGATTGGAATTATGATTGGAGGGATTTTAATGAAGTTTAAAGTGGGAATTATAAAATCTCTGTTAGTGGCGATAGTATTGGCGGGACTTGGATTTCTACTTGTGTTGGTTAGAGTGAAGAATGGTAGAATTGCGGGAACTTCAAAGGGTGGCGAAGAAAATTGCGAGAAAGAAAGCGACAAGCGAGAGAGATCATGTTGTAAGAAGTATAATCCGGTAACGAAGTTGATTGAGGCGTTTGCCATCCTATTCCAGAAGCGGGAACATCCCTTGAGGTTCTGCCTCTTGATTGTGGCCCACATCTGTTATGCTGTGCCAATGGTGGAACATTCTATGGTCTACCTCTTTGTCAGGGAACGGTTGCAATGGGATATCAGCGATTATGGCTTCTTCTCAATGATCAATTACCTATTAAGTGCTGCGGGAGTGTTTTTATCGATGTACGTTTTGAGTAAGAGGCTTAAGCTATCGGATGCCTTGGTGGGGTTTATCTCGGGCTTGAGTCAGATTGGCGGATCGACGTTGTACGCCTTTTCGACAACAGCGGCAATGATGTATTGTGGTAAGTGTGAGGGGATTTGGGTAAAATAGTTCCAAATGTTTTTATGATATTCTGCAAAAGTAAATTTTTCAGCGTCGAGTAATATGTAGAATTTAAAAAAATTATTCATTTTTTAAATTTTTATACAGCATCTGCCCTGGACATGATGAATGGGACGATTAATGTGGTTGTGAAATCCATGCTGTCAAAATTGGTGGCAGCAAACGAAGTGGGAAAACTTTTCGCACTTCTGGGAGTGATTGATAGCCTGCTCCCTCTATTGATGGGGCCGACCTACGCGATTGTGTACCGGAGTACGTTGACCTCTTTTGCAGGAGCTTTCTTCCTCCTTTCGGCAGGAGTAACAATACCGGCAGAAATAATATTTCTGTAAGTCTTTGAATATGAAAGTATTCTGAAATATTTGATGGTGCTATGCAGGAAAGGTTTAAAACGTATGTTGCGACGCCACTCGCAACCGTAATCTTGAATATTACCATATTGTTTTTCAGGTACTTCATGATCAGGAAGGATAAGAAGGTTAATGGCGAGGAGGACGAAACAGAACCTACGGCTCTGGACAAACCGCAAATCACTGTGGAATCATGTAATAAAAGTGTCCCCGATATTGCAAAAATTGTGCCGAGTAAGGTTCAATTAAGCAGCTACAGTTTGAATAATATCAGCGAACCGAAAAATTAGGATGGTATTAAGTCATAAGTGGTTTTCAGTTGTAATCATTTGGAATACTGCAGTTATGTTTTTTAAAGGGTACATAATTTAGAATTAAAAAGAAAGAAAGAAATAAATTGAAAAACGCCTTCCTGACATTGTATCTCATCGAATAAACCGTAGCATACGTTAGAAATAGCTCGCCCGTAACCTCCTATAACAAAGTTCTATTTTTGTGCACTATTGGTGCAAGCGAGTCAATATTTCTTAGTTATTTTATCCAATTCTTCTGCACTGATGGTACAGATTATTCAAAATTATGTGAATCGCATATCCAGTCTAGTTTTGCATCATTGGTGCAAAATTGTGTTTCTATTTCTCCCGACTATCTTTTTTGCACCGAAGGTGCCAAAGAAACGAACTAAATTGATACATAATTCTGTCGCAATTTTAACTTTTTTGCACAAACGGAGCAGAAGGAACGGGTAAAATTGATGAAGAATTTTGACACTTGACCTTCGTGAGTTGGTTCCAATAGGCCAAAATTATAACAAAGATATTGGCCGATTTCTCCGCGCTGTTGACCCATTTTAGGTCCATTTTGGCTTTTTGATTGCGCCAAATTATTTATAAAAAGTCTTCGAATGTTACTCATCATTGACGCTCAACGCAGTATTAGGAGTAAAATTGCGCCAATTGAGGCTTATATTGTTGGAACACACAGACGGACAGACGGACAGACGTACAGACGGACAGACGGACAGACGGACGGACACGACGAGTTCAATAGCTCCCATGCTTCGCAGGGCGAGCTAATAATATAGAAATATATGGATTTGAAAGCATTAGAGTGAAGAGAAGACGTAGGATTTAAATTGGAATAATTTAAAATGATCTGAACTGACGAAAGTCTTCAAATAAATATTTAAGATTGTAACTCTCATTTGCTCACTTGCCAAGTGAGCAAGGCTTTCTCTATCTCTCTCTGCTTCCCCCTCCATGTCCCATTTTCTTTTCATATTACATAAAATTTTTCGTCACTTCCTTTCCCAAATTGTTATCTTGGTGCTAATTGGATAACTAGAAGCGTGAAATATCTTGAAATCAGGAAGGGATTGTCGAGAACATCACTAACCAGGTTAATGATTTGGTGGAACGCCAGCCTGTTGTTGCTTGACCCATGAATGTAGGTTCAAATTTTAGTGTTCTCTTACAAGTCAACATTAACCAAAACCAGCTGCAAGCCGACTACCGACTAAAGATTCTCAACTTTGAACTAACTTTGAGGTGATGAATGAATTCATCAAGCTACTAATGCAGCAGGGCTCGGTTCATGACAAATTATGAGTAGAGCATTTTAAAGGATTATGCGATTGGTCCTATTGCAGTTTTATGGTAGCCCCACGACCACCATTTTTCATCCGTTTGGAAGGTTGCGAATGCCGAATTGTGTGGAGAATAAAAACACAAATTTTACATTATTCCTTTTTTTAAATTTATATAAAAATTAAGGGCAGTATATTTAATTATTCTTAAATGAGGTTAAATAAGTAGACCTGAAATGGGTAAAATAAACGGAGAAAACCTGACCAAGTTTTACCCAAATAACTTCTTGCAATCGGGGTACTCACGTAAATCTTGCAAAGCAACATACGACGTACAAGTTGTGCCTTTAAATTATTCGAGGACTACAATATTGGCAGGAATTGGCAGGAGTCATGAATTTTTTTGTATACAGCTCCACGGTGGACACATTCATGATTTCAAATTTTGCAAAAATAATACTGAAAAGAATTAAGTGTGCAAAATTAGGAGATTTTAATTAGATACGTGTACTTGCACAACTACAGGGAAACTTTATCTTTGATGTTTATAATAAGACAGTCTAAAATACGTTTATTGCTATCCAAACACTTTGTTGAAAATACAAACTTGAAATGAATATTCAGCCAGGTCATGAGCTTATCGCTTTCACTACATGTCAGTTTCATACATAATGAGTTTATGTATCCAGCTTGAAATACGAGTGTAGGACAGAGTAGAACTAATTTTGTGATGAGGAGGATCAAGTGCAACGATGTAAAAAGAAATATTATTTCGAGTTTGATTAGTAAATAGCTGAATTTTTCCAGGTTTCTAGCGAGATATTTGGTTGAACCAAATATTCTTGTACTTTGCGTGATAAAAATATACGACTTTTATGACGCGTGTTATATTGGTGTATGGTTATAGTCGTTATATGGTTATAGTGGTATATCGTTATATTGGTATATGGTTATAGTCGTTATATGGTTATAGTGGTATATCGTTATATTGGTATATGGTTATAGTCGTTATATGGTTATAGTGGTATATCGTTATATTGGTATATGGTTATAGTCGTTATATGGTTATAGTGGTATATCGTTATATTGGTATATGGTTATAGTCGTTATATGGTTATAGTGGTATATCGTTATATTGGTATATGGTTATAGTCGTTATATGGTTATAGTGGTATATCGTTATATTGGTATATGGTTATAGTCGTTATATGGTTATAGTGGTATATCGTTATATTGGTATATGGTTATAGTCGTTATATGGTTATAGTGGTATATCGTTATATTGGTATATGGTTATAGTCATTATATGGTTATAGTGGTATATCGTTATATTGGTATATGGTTATAGTCGTTATATGGTTATAGTGGTATATCGTTATATTGGTATATGGTTATAGTCGTTAATTGTCAACATGGGAAGCTGATATCTTGCTCGATGGTATAAATAAACTATGTGACGCATCAAAATATAAATTATAGGGTCAGAGATACTACCTGGAATAAAGCTAATGGGGTAGTCCAATTCCAACCCTCTCATGAATCTTAATTTCTGTATTTACCATTAATTGATCATTATGTTTACACTCTAAATAATTCGATAAGAAAATCTTTTACGTCGATATCAATATGAGGTTTTACCGTGATGATAATATTTTTTTACCGTATCCTAACAATTTATTCTGCCAAATTTAAATTAATTAACCCAAATTGGGAAATTTTATATACAGCGTAATAAATTTGGCAGTTAATATTATTGTCACGAGTCGATAATAAATTTTTACCTGCACGGTGACACCGGGTCAAATACCAGTTTATTTTGAGTGTATCTATTGGTATATAGATACACTCAAATACACTTGGTTTTGGTCAAGGCTTGATAAGTTGGTTGGGGATAAATAAATTAGACCCAAGTAAAAACTAGTATTCTTAGGTTAGGCAAAAAAGGATTCTTAGGTTCGGCATCGCGGCTAAAATTAGAAAACAAGTTCATGGCAGGATAACCACTTTATCCTAATGTTGACTATAATTAGCGATTTTTGCAGTATTTGCTGAACCGCGGGCCTATCTGTTAGCAGTCATAAAATGGGTCCGATATTGGCGGGTATATTCCTTAATACTTGGCACAAAAAACTATATGATACCAGTTTCTTTTCCTAATTACAAAGCATTAAAACAAACATGAATTGAACAGTTTAGAATATCATATACTAACTGAAAGAATGGTCCCGCGGTTCAGCAAATACTGCAAAAATCGTTAATTATGGTCAACATTACGATAAAGTGGTTATCCTGCCATGAACTTGTTTTCTAATTTTAGCCGCGATGCCGAACCTAAGAATCCTTTTTTGCAAAAGTATTTATTTAAATAGTGAGCATTGGATGGGGACAGAGTCTCAGAAAAATTGTTCCCTAGCCAGATGGAAGATTATAGTAGACTTGCAAATAAAGCTGGCACAATCAGACCAGAAATTGAACTCGGTGATATTCTATCACCAAAATGGTTATGACGTTTCTCACCAGAGTCGGTAAAGTCACATGTAGTTAAAAATAATAGCGGCAGTCACCCAATTTCTAAGAGTGTATGGTTGATATGTTCATCATACGACTTTGGCGCATCTGGCTGTCACTGTTATCAGCTTTTGGGTGAGTAGGTTATCAGCTAGGGTGAATTAACCATATAGAATTAGTGGTAACGTGTCACCACTCGGCTAGGGTCATATACAAAGGAAAGAAATACTTGTCTTGTAATGTAATGGACAGTGGATAATGCAAATATATATAGTTTAAAAAATCCTGATTCTGATATTAAAGAGCTAATATTTCATGAGAAGCAATGAGTTTATAATTTGTGTGTTTATTTTGACAAACTGGACTACAGATTAGTATTATTCTATATTAAGATTACGATTAAGATTACATACATTAAATACTAATACGTTTTAGATTGTTGCATATATATTCACAATATATTTATTTGACTTGGACCCCCCACTCCTTATTTCCCTCTCTCGTCTTGGACCACTACTTTCGATTTGAACCCCAAGCTTGACCGGGCCATCAGTGCGCCATAACTGCGGACAGCACATTACACACACCCCTTACGTTAGTCATAATATGATATATGAAACAATTATTTACAAGTTATTACTTATTTTATTACTTATATACCCCTATTCAACTTCTTTTGAACAACAACTTTTTTATTTCATTTTGTTTTTATTTCCATTTTACTTTTCTAGGTTATAAAAAAAGAGCGAATCCATAAAACCTTGAAACGATTTTATATGTACCTTTATGCCCAAGGGCCCAAAAAGAAGGAAACAATAAATACAATTAAATACAATACAATACAATTATATTTATAAATTTAGATTGCTAGATGAATAGACAAGGCATTATGATTAGAACTACATGCTTAACCATTAAAATTTAACAATAATTTAAAAGTTATTTATTATAATTATCATTTAAATGCATGCTCATTATAAATATACACAACTAATATGCTGTTTACATCTCAACTTCACACTGCATTTGGGTACTTATTTAATCACCTAAGGATAATATTGTTTTTAGGTGGCAGTGATGAAATTTGTACGTTTCAATATTCAAGTGTGACAATTTGAGTGAGACGGTCCACGAAGTTACCCATGAAGTCGAAAGTTTCTAAATGATTTGTGAACCCTTCGACAATATTTTTTTTTCGAACCGCCTGAAAATTTAGAACCCTTGACATATCTTAACCAATCCTCTGTCAGGGTCAATATCAAGGACGCTCGGGTCAGCAGAACCTACGAGTTTATAAATATGTATT